AAACGTAAATGATATAAAGTAATTAAATAACTAATTATAAGAAGATAAAATATAATTTAGAAATAAAAAAGGTTTCTGTTTAAAGTGTAATTTGGATATACGTATGTATTCATAATATTTAATAGTATGATTAAATCAAAAAATATTTAATATTTGAGTCATTTTGAAGATACTGAATAGACGATTATAATTGTATAATTTGTAAAAAGGAATTATATATTTTAGTTCATATACGATTACTTATGTTAATATAATAAATGGTGTAAAATAAAAAAGTAAGAGATTTAAAGTAAATTAAATAATTAATCATAATGGTATAAAATGTAAATTAGGAATTAATAATTATTTGATTTTCAATAGGTGGGAGATTTAGCATAATAACTTATATCTCTTAAAACTTTCTAAATAACTGTAACTTGTCTTTTTTAATATAGTTTACATATAGATATACATTTGTTATAGAGATCGTGCAAGAATAATAGGTAATTATATGAACAAGTTAATTAATTTTAGTGAAAAAGTGATTCACATTTTTAGTCCCTATAATTTGCTTAGAGACTGACTTATTCCTCATAACAATTAATAACTGACAGTGTTAATTTTGAGGACCATAAGTATGATAAAGCGAAAAGTTATGGACCATTAATTTAGATATAAGTTTTAAGGATCAAATCCAAATTTTAAGCAAACTACATGATTACCATCAATATAGTTCACTCTTAATTGTGTAAATCTTGAAATTGTATTAAGTAATTTTAAAGAATTATTACCAATAATCATTAGAAAGTAAATCTTAACAATTAAAATCATATATATATAAGGAAGGGTACAAACGAGAACACATTCTTTTTATGAGAATGCGAGAACACCCTTTTATTATATACAATCACATATGATACTATTATTTCATCATATATGATACACATGTGATACTAAATCAAAGACGTGGACGATTTTCATTCGATCTTGGTTGCGGGCCAAGTCATTCTTACACCACTAAGCCCTCTCACAAGTATTATCATATGTGATAAGAGTGTTGTTGATATGATACTATTATCCATCAAGACCATCACATGTGATGCTAAATCATAGACACAGACAACCTTTGACGCGGCCTAAGTCGTAGAACATGTCGTCCGCACATCATAGGGCTTCTCATGCGTATTATCACATGTGATAAGGGTGTTCTCGCGTTATCATAAAATAGAGGTGTTTTCGTTTAAACCTCCGCGCACACACACACACACACATACATATATATATATATATATGTGTGTGTGTGTGTGTATGAGTGTAAATATGTTTATATATAGAGAGATGAACAATCAAATGTAAACCACCCTTATCTGTCGATTTTATTGTTTAATTTAATGATTTTGTTTTATGAAATTGTTTAATATTATGAAATTATTTTATATAATAGTTGTTTAGATATATATAGTTGTTTCATATACGGTTATGAAATTGTATCATACAATACTTATGAAATTTTATTGAAATTGTTTCATGTATTTTTTCAAAAATAATATAATAAAGATGATAATAAAATATTTTACAATAAAAATGATTAGTCAATATCTCATAATTATAAAAATAAATGAAAAATTATGATTGATAATTAAGATTTGTATAATTTGTATAAATAATATGATTTGCAAAATAAACCTAGAAGTAATAGAAACCAAATTGAGAAGGAAAAGAAACCAATTGAGAAATTGTTTGACCTAAAAAGAATCAACATATATGCAACGACTCCTACTTAAATTTCATTTTATTTTTATTTTTCAGATTTAATTAAATAATTAAAAGATAAGCACCAAAGCCGCAACTTTTAATGATATATTCCAGTTCAATAGGAATGTCAATCACGCGTTTTGACACTATCACCCTTGCTAAGCCCCACACTTCTTTTTTCATTTCCAAGCCTATTTTCGTCATTTCCACTAAACCTCATAAATTTCAGGGTATAAGACGCCCCCCATACCCTTTGCAATATTTGGCATCAACGACCTTTCTCTCTCTCTCTCTCTCTCTCTCTCTCTCTCTCTCTCATTCCTTTCATACACCCAACGTAATGACGAAAGTATACCCTAAAGCCGTCGTTCCTCCGCCCCTTTCTTCCGACCGCCACCGCTTCTCCACTGAATCCAACAGCAACGCCGCCGTCCTCACCGTTTGGAAGAAATCATTGCTCTTCAGTTGCGACGGATTTACAGTCTTCGACACCAAGGGCAATCTCGTCTTTCGAGTCGACAACTACGCCGCCGCCAACAAGGCGGAGGTTGTTCTCATGGACGCCTCCGGCCGATCTCTCCTCACCATCCGCCGCAAGGTATATATATACATATATTTCTTTTGAGTTTTTTTTCTTCATAAATTGGATTGATGATCAAGTTCTGACTAAATGCTTCATTCAATTCGTTAATTAGAAGTTGAGCCTTGCCGATAGTTGGCTGGTGTACGACGGAGATACGGCGGTGAATCCTCGTTTCTCGGTGACGAAACACGTGAATTTTCTGAACCCTAAATCACTGGCGCACGTGAGCTCTGCAAAGAAAAATAACAGAAACGTGACTTACGCGATCGAAGGGTCTTACACGCAGAGGTGCTGTGTGGTGTATGACGACAAACGGCGGTGCATGGCTGAGATCAAGCGGAAGGAGGCGGTGGGAGGGGTTGGCTTCGGCGGAGATGTTTTCTGGCTGGTTGTACAGCCTGGGATGGATTCCAGTGTTGCCATGGCCCTCATCGTCGTTATGAATCAGATGTTCGGTGGTTCTTCACGGCGGTGTAAACCCTATTAATGAAATCAAATTCAACAACCCATCTGGATTGCGGAAAGAGAGTGAAAGATGATCGAAAATGGAGGTGAATTCAAGATGACAAATCCATCATCCAACTCCAATAAAAAAAAAGATGACGTGTCAAATGTTGATTGGTGGAAAAAAAACTAGCACAAGATAGGTGGATTCCTCTCCCTCGATATAAATTTTTTTAAGAGTAATTTTATATACATTTCAATCCTTTTTGGGTTCGAAACGATATCTCATTACTCTTTGATGTGTTATGATTCAAACTGATGATATCGAGGGCTTGGTTTTTTCGTTTTAGATAAAGGATCAAGCTCCGGATGAGGAGTATTTCTTTACACAAATAAAACCAATTAATGTTTCACGTTTTGATTTATGTTCGACAAGTTCTCCTACTCCTTGTGATATATATATATGCACATCATCTATCGGTTCTTGTTCTTACTTCATCTTCAGATTTACTGATCTGATAATTAGATTATTGGACGAGCTCTACTTTATTAATATAGATCATTTATTTATATTGTTATCAGTGCTCAACTAACCATTTTAATTAGATTAACAATAAGAACTGTATTTTTTTGAAAAAAAAAACAGTAGAAAAATATATTAAAAAGACGAAAATAAATACATCAAGAAACCAACTTAAACTACGAGGTGTAACTGGTTAAAAGGGAACAAAAAGAAAAATCAAAGGAAACAAATGTTTAAGGGCAATGGAGATAATAATTTACAGGATGCCATCAATTTTAAAGCATTTATATGATTCGATTTATAGGATCAAAAACTAAAATAGTCATATTTAAAGGCGGCGTAGTAATTTTATAGGACTCTTTTGGGTGTTTTAACAAGTTTTATGGGACACTTTTAATGCAAATCATCCTATTAGCTATTTTATATGACAATTTTGAAAAAAATGTTCTATAACCAATCTTTTTACAGGGCACTTGTTTTTTAAAGACATTTTTTCAAATAGATACTTATAAAATAGCTAATGGGGCACTATGTAATAAAAATGTTTTATGAAACTTGTTAAGATGCCTTTAGACATGACCATTTATTTTTTGGTCTTATAAATTGAGTCTTATAAAGCAGTCTAATATGACCAGGCCCTGGCCTAAGCACGTGCAACCTGTGCGACTGCACAGGACATCAAAGTCCAAAGGGACTTCAAATTTTTATATTTGTATTAATTTTGGGTTTTGGGGTTTAATAATTTGAGACTTAAACTTTAATTATAAACAGAGGCCCAACTGACCAGGTTTGTTAATAATAAACCTAAGGACTTGAATCGGTGACAATAAGATAGACACATCACAGTTCACAAGACAATTGGCTTTGGCGATTTGAAATTGACGATTTCTATTGTTCTTTGAGTGTTCGACTTTTTCGATTTTCGACGATGACATTCCAGTTCCAGAGGAAGACGATTAACGGTAACGAGTCTAACGACTGTCCATGGAACGATGGATCGATCTTGATGATCAGTTGATGCATTGCCGACCACCCGACTATATATACTCGAATACACAATTGTCGATTAAACTCTCAAATCTCAATCCTCCATTGTTTCTCAAATCTCAATTCTTCAAATCTAGATACAGTCGATTGCATTTGTATTTCTTCAAATCTGGATTATGGAACTGGAACTGGAAGTCGATTGCATTGTTTCTCAAACCAATGTATGATTTCGTTTCTAAATTCTAACATAGTAACATTTAATTGATTAATTCTGACATTATGTATTCATTGTATTTCCAATTGATACAAGCTCTCTTATGGCAATGGTTGCCGACTTTATATGAAGCTTTGAAATCAACGACGTCCTATAAACTCAATTTTGTTACAATAAAACTTGTAATAATGACTTTCATCCAATGATTTACTATCATTACAACATCCATCAACAAATTAGTTAGGTCAAATCTCTACTCATTATCATATTAATTAATTAATTAATAACCATGGTTTAATATATAATTAGCATACACATACAAATATCTTCATATTGTTTTATTTCCACCATTCATTTAGTTTAGTTTATTAATTCCACTCATTATTATAAAGAAATATAGAATTATTTTATTCTTATGGCTTGATGCTAATTAAGAAAAGACAAATAGTTATAAAATTACTATAAAAAATACAAGATGTCAAAATCAAGACTCGTCATTCATTTAAAAAAAAAAAACATAAGAGACGTCAACCAGAAAACCGTAAAAGTCCCTTGAAATCAACCTAATGCGGCACAACAAAATTTGAAAAAGTCACTTAAAATCAATCCAAAAACTTTAAAAAATCACTCGAAAATATAGAATTAGGATAAAAACAAGTCGGATGACTTTGCAGGCCTTTGATCCACCTAAAAGGTGCATTTGTTCGACAAAAATCGTGGGTCTGCTGCTGGTGTTCAAGTTAGCTTATGCACCTTGTCTGATTTAATGAGGTCCTGAAATTAACGGTTAGGTAAACCTCCACTAATTAATCATGAGAAAATGAATCTAAGATTTTACCTGTTGAATTATCGTTAAAAGTTGACAAATGCTAGTTATCATCTAAATTTTAAATGAAATAATATGCAAAAGCATCATTCATATATGATTATACTTTTCAACATTCTTGAGAATTAAACTATCACTCTAAATTTTATGTTTCTTTTCTGTCTTTCAATCATATTATCATACATAATTATTTAATTTAATACAAATATATTTAATTTATATTTTTATTCTCCCTAATAGTATTTTTTTTTTTCAATTGGATTTAAGTACATGACATTTTTATTCTCTATTTGAACCAGTTTTCTAAAAGGCTCGTCACAATAGTGGTCGTGACTCAAGGCTTGTTTCTAACACCACGTTAACTTTGTGGCATGACATGGTCTAATGCATGATTTTCTTAACCTGATATTTGATTTTTCTTACATTTTTAATGTCTTGCTTACTAGTTTTTAACATAAAAACTAAATTAAATTGTTTAATATCATTGACTTATTAAGTAATAATAGAAAACATATGCTTATATATAATAAAGTTATATATATGACAGAGATTTGCCGTCATAAATTATGTTTTGAAAAACGTCGTGGCCTCACTATAGCTTGTAAGACCTAAGACTTGACCTTACCAGCTCACACCATTTAAAACCTTGATTTTAAAACGTTGATTTTAAGTCTTATTTCTCTATATTCATTAGCACTAATAGATGGATTCAATGAAAAAGGGATAGCATATAATTTATATATGGTTCTACCTAATTTACAATAATGATAAAAACTAGTCTTTATGTTATACATTTATACAAAAAACCAATCCTTAGGTTCTAGAGCTGTTCACGAACAGTACGATGCACTAGAACCACCACCTGTACTGTCTTGAAATTTTTTGGCTTGGACAATGATTCTTGAAAAAATAGAAGGGTCTAGAGTTATACCGTTAAAATTAATGGGTGAGCCTGAACAATTTAAAAAAACCGAATAAACCCGCCTGACATGTTATATTATTATAACTCATTATATTTTATTATAATCAATATTTTATAATTTTTTTATTAAAGAAATTTAGAAGTTTTCCTCCTGGTTTTTGGGTGGACTCCCCCCTATTATATTATATGTGATATGTGATATGTTATATATTATATATTATATCTTGGATTTCAATCTTGAAATATTAGGTGGCTAAATATTTGTTGTTGAAGAAACCAAACTCCAGAGGAAATGTCCATATTACGTATTTTGTGAAAGTATTTTCTCTTATGCTATGTATATTAGTATACATTACATCTTATTTTTAAGTGAGAAGAAAATTATGTATTTTTACTGATTTTACATAAATTACAATTTTATATAATTTTTTGTTTTTTAAATGTAATAGATTTTTAGACACGTTAACTTATGGGTAAGTGGCAAGCCGATTCGTTTATATTATGGTATGAATAAGTTCTTAAACCTGCCAAAATAAACTTGAATTTAATAGGGGTGTTCAAAAAGACCGTTGGACCGTTTAAACCAAGTCAAACTGGACTATTTATTATGGTTTAAACTTTTTTTTAGCATTTGGATCAAACCTGTTAAAATATGTCATATTCTTCAAATCTTGAATGTCTTAACTAAGTTTCTTAACGTTTGTACTTATTCTGTCAGGTTATTAATTGGTCAGGGTATAAAGTTTAGATTTTATAAAGCTGTGTTGTTCAGAATAGTTGGAGGACTACGCCTCACATCTTGGAATAGTTCAGGGTTATCTTCAGATGTGTGGGTCTAGATGGTCGATCGTTGGAACAGTGATAATTGGAAGGCTGTTTCCGGTGTGGCGCGTGGGAACCGTGATAGCCAAGTTTCGCTACACACTGGTGGATCGATACCATTTTCGGAGCATGGTGCTCGTCTGGTAGAACCTAAAACCCATAATTTAGTAGCTTGATTTTTAACATGTTATAATCAACACATGTTTGTATAATTTGACATTTGTAGACACGAGCAAAAGATGGCGTGCCCCCGACCGTTGTGGAATTATTCGATAACACACACAA